TACACATAAGCTCACTGACATAAAAACACAAGCTCACTGATGCATGCACAGATAAGCTCAATGACAGGCAATGTCAAAATCACACACAAGCTTACTTGTACACATGCACAAACCTTGTTCAGACAAATTCACTTGTATGCACACATAAGCTTACTACAGACAAACTCATTGGTATACAAGCAAAAGCCAACAACATACAAGCTTACTTTTACATACACATGCTCACTACAGACAAGCTCACTAGAGAAATGCTCACTGACACAGACACAAGCTTACTACAGACAGGTTTAGTGTGAAACTCACACAAGCTTACTTACAGATAAGCACACTGACACACAGGTTACCTGTAGAAAAGCTCACTGACACACACATTCTCCCTACAGAATAGCTCATTGACATACATATGCTGACTACAGACAAGCTCACTGTCACACACATGCTCCCTACAGAAAAACTCACTGACACACACATGCTCACTACAGAAAAGCTCTGTGACGCACACACACAAGCTTACTAGACAAGCTCACTGACACACACATGCTCCCTACAGAAAAACTCACTGACACACACATGCTCATCACAGACAAGCTCATGGTCACACACATGCTCACTACAGACAAGCTCAGTGACACACACACACACAAGCTCACTAGACAAGCTTGCTGACATTCATTCACAAACCCACACACAGGCTCACTAAAGAAAAGCTCACTGACAAATATGGTTCTTACAGAAAAGTTTACTACAGACAAGCTCACTGACACACAAACTCACTACAGACAAACTCACTGGCACACACACATGCTTACAACAGACAATCTCACTGACGCACACATGCTTACTACAGACAAGCTCACTGACACACAGACATACAAGCTCACTTACTAGCAGGCACATACACACACAAAATCACCTGGTTATGGGCTAAAGCCTACCTGGCACTGAACGCTGTGGCAGCCATTTTCTGACCTCTTTCAGCAGGCGTGTTTAGAAGCTTGAGTGCCGAGGAAGAGCCTGTGTGTGTGGACAGAGCTTGCATGCAGGAGGAGGGGCTTAAATGCTGAGGTGGTGCTGGGAATTGTGAAAGCAGACTGACAGTGCTCCCTCCGACCACCAGCCCCCAGCATGTTCCTCCTTAATTCCCTCAGACTGACACAGGCTGTCACAGTCCGAGGGGGAAATCATTAAAAGAGCATTAGTCTAATGATCAGGGCTCTATGCCGCCAGATGCCACAGCCCACCAGAAAATTTCCTGGTATCCCGGTGGGCCAGTCGGGCCCTATTCCAGAGCTGCCCACCCACAGAGCCATGCTATAGAGTGTCCGAAAAGTCCTGCAATTGTTTTGTGCTGTGCAGGCAAATTGAATGACACTCTGCATTTGCTGGTGTCTGCACAAGTGGGATACTAAAGACAGTGCCTGCTTTAGGCCTTTAGGTGCCCTGTGTGAAAAACCTTAACAGTGCTCCTCCCTGGCAACATCTCCTCATCCAATCCTTCCCACCATTTAAAAAGTACCAAGCCCTCATAGTTACATGGTTACATAGCTGAAAAGAGACTTGCGTCCATCAAGTTCAGCCTTCCTCACATATGTTTTTGCTGTTGATCCAAAAGAAGGCAAAAAACCAAGTCTGAAGCGCTTCCAATTTTGCCACAAACTAGGAAAAAATTCCTTCTTGACCCCAAAATAGCAGTCAGATGTCTCCTTGGATCAAGCCGCTATTACTCCACTAATTAGAAATTATATCCCTGTATGTTATGTTTTTGTAAGTATTTATCCAATTTCAGTTTAAACATCTGTAGTGACTCTGACAAAACCACCTCTTCAGGCAGAGAATTTCATATTCTTATTGCTCTTACTGTAAAAAAACATTTTCTTTGCCTTAGATGAAATCTCCTTTCTTCCAGCCCAAATGTGTGACCTCATTACGTATATGTTTTGTGTTGAAATAATTTCTGAGAGTATTATACCCCCTGCCTCCTTAAGGATGCATATACAACATGTACACATACAAACACAAACATTTTTTACTTTGGAGCTTCTGGATACTCATCTATGCCACACAATGCTATGAGTTGCACTGCTTAGGAGCTCTTAGTTTTCCACATTTGCATTTCTTAACTTACCCTAAGATAGTGAAGGCCCTGGTGGTTGCGAACTGTGTGAGGATCCTGGAGCCACTGTTGCCATGTCTCCCTGTGTACCGGCACAGCTCACATACACCAAAGGCTGGCCCTGACTAGAGAACAAAGGGCAAGGAAAGAGTATTATGCATGCCTTTGGAGACTGCTTGTGGGATTAGGTGTCTGTAGAGGGGGCTGTTTATTATGTGGAATGTATAAGTAGCTCAGTTTCTGTTGTGTTTGTGCTGCAGTATATGTGGCTAGAGGAAAGAGTGTATGTGTGATTGTATAGGTTATCTAGTGTGTGTGTGTGAACAGGGAATGTAGTGTGTATACAGCATGTGGTGTGTGTGTATATGGGATGTGGGATGTAGTGTGTGTATGTAGATGATGAAGTGTAAGTGCACAGGGGATGTTGTGAGTGTGTATGTATTGGGGTGTAGTGGGTTTGTGTATATAGGGGATGTAGTATGTGTGTGTATATAGTTGCTGTATGTGTGTGAAGGATGTAGCATGTGTAGGGAATGTAGTGCATTTGCTGGGGATGGTAGAGTGTGTGTTTAAGGAAGGTAGCTTGTGTGTGTTAAGGCATGTAGTGTGTGTCATGGAACTACCAGCAGTGCAGCCAGAGTGTGTGTATGTTAGCGTGTATCTGTGCATCAGTGTGTATTAGTGTGGGCATCTGTGAAAATGATTATATCTTTTATTTGGGGTTCACCAGATGCCAGGCACAACTTCCAGGAGACCTGGAAGCTATTGCACTGACCCTCTGGTAGCACCCATGGACTAAAGAGAAGGTGACCGGTGCCCTTAATGTTTGTTGTTCACAAACAGTTTGACTACTTATCCTAAAATGATGCCAGGGGACTCCTAGCAATATAACTACTAAAATGAGATGTATAAAATTCTCCTGCATTTCTTAATGTAATAAACCTATTTCAAATCTTTAAGCACTTTCTTTACTGCTGTTTTGCTCAGATTTAAACCTGAATCCCAAGTGATTCAGCACTAACAAAGCCCAGTAAAATTAAATACAAAGGGCCAACAATATTACATTGGGTCTTCACACTCTAAACATGGTTATGGTTATCATAAACCCATGTTCCTTATATAAACACTTCCCTCTAGCTTTCTATTGTTGATAGATGCAGAAAAGTATGTCTAAAGCTCACAAAAGAGGAGTTTTTAATTAGATCAGACAATAAAAATAAAGACCCATAAACATTAGCATTGTGAAGTCAGGAACCAAACACTGGGAATTACACGGAAATAAAGTTTCTTGTTATTGTTGTGAATACAATTGGAAGCAAAGGGAATGGGTGCAGTTTTGAGAAGTAAAGTCAGGCGTCTTCCTGGGTAAGGGGGGTGGGAATCCATCCCTTGGAAAGATATACTGTGAATACAAGCAGCTGTTAAGAAGGCTAAACTAAGCTTATCACTTTGTTGTGTGAGGTCTTGACTTATTCTTGTAAGGGTACAGGAAGTTGCTTGTATGAGATGTAATGAGAAGTACTTAAAAGGGGGAAGCTCTCTTTATAATGAATGATTCTATAAGAATATGAGATTGAGGAGGTAGAGGAAGCGTCTCATAAAGAAGTATTGTGTGCTGTTTAAGAAACATGTAGACATGCAGAATAGGAATGAGTATACGCTAGTGATATTTACATGTGGACAGTAATTGCCTACATTTTTAATCATGGAATTTAAAATATAAATACAGGCTTAATGTGCATCTACAATATATTTAACTTACTGTAAAGCTACAGGACACTTAAGTATACACTTTTAGAATGCTTTTAGAATCTTTTCCTTTAAAATTATGGGTTGAGTTTTGAGGGATGTTTCTTTAACAATTTGCAAATGTAATAAAGGTAAGGCAATGTATTATCCTTAAAGGGTTACTCTTACCCTTTTTAAGACATTTTTTTTTAAATTGAAATGCCCTATTGCACATTGCTGACTAGGCCCCACCAATTAAAATTTACCTGTAATCCAGCACAGGTTAAGCTCTCCACGTTTCTTCTGACGTCACCAAGGACCTTGCATGATCCAATCAAAGGCTTCTCATAGAGCCTTATCGGAGCCAGTGAGGGGAATGAAGCTGGAAGTGGGAAGGGAGGGGAGAAAAAAAGTATCCAGGTGCAATAAAAGGAGGTGGGATTGAGGCAGAGGGCGCACATGAAGAGAGAGAGGGGTGAGCAAAGCTTCTTCTTGCAGATGGTGTGTGCATGCTGACTACAGATGCAAAATATGAACAAAATTGACCATGGGCCTACAGAGACAGAGTTCCGGGCTGCCTAAGTCATGTTTGCCAGGGGTGTAACTAGCCTCAGGTGAAAAAGTGCTAATTGCTCTGTATGTGCAACCAGGGCCGGTGCCACCGTTAGGCAAACTAGGCATCCGCCTATTGAGCCTCCCCCAGCGCCAGGCCAATCCTCAAGGCGCCCGAAGGTGGGGGCACAGAGAGGAGCCCTGTCACAATGGGGCCAGTCAGGGCCGGCCATAGGCCTTTGGGCGCCCTGTGTGAAAAATCTTCACAGCGCTCCCCCTTCCCACACACCCTGTCTCACACACACACACACAGACAGCCACACGCGCACACAGACATAGAAACATAGAATGTGACGGCAGGTAAGAACCATTTGGCCCATCTAGTCTGCCCAGACAGTCACAGATAGGTAGTCACACACACAGAGGCAGACAGCCACACACAGGCAGCCACACAAAAACACACACGCAGACAGCCACACAAAAAACACACAGGCAGACAGCTACACACAGACAGCCACACACAAACACACAGGCAGACAGCCACACACAAACACACACGCAGACAGCCACACACAGACAGTTTCTATGTCTGCATGTGTGTGTGGCTGTCTGTGTGTGTGTTTGTGTGTGGTTGTCTGCCTGTGTGTTTGTGTGTGGCTGTCGGGCAGACAGCCACACACAAACACACAGGCAGACAGCCACACACAGATAGCCACACACAAACACACAAGCAGACAGCCACACACACACAGGCAGACATAGAAACATAGAATGTGACGACAATTAAGAACCATTCAGCCCATCTAGTCTGCCCAGACAGTCACACATAGGCAGTCACACACACACACAGGCAGACAATCAATCACACACACACACACACACATACACAGGCAGACAGTCATACAGGCAGACAGTCACACACACAGTCACACACCCACACACAAAAAAGGGCAGACAGTCACACACACAGGCAGACAGTCAAACACACAGACAGACACTCACTGACATACAGACACACTCGCTTCCCTGGGGTCCAGTGTGGGGCAGCTCCTCACTCCTCCAGCGCGCCGTTTAGTATCCCTGGGACCTGAATGAGGTCATATTAGAATATGTACTGGTGAGATCTGTAAGTCGTATCTCTCGTTTGCTTGGTATGCACTGTGATAACCATGTTGTCAGGTCCTTTGGAAGAGAGGGATTGTACAAGCAAGGGAGAGAAATGGCTGGGTGAGACCTGAGTTTACGTGTATAATTGAAAGCGTTGGTGTTATCGTAGGGTGTTGTGTTAGGCATAGGGAACCACTACCCTCTTCCTGCCATGGTATGGTATGAATCAGTGCCGTAAGAAAACTGGTCTTGAGTGATTTCCAAAGTTTTTCAATGTCATTGGCCCATTCCCTAATCCTTGTCAAGGCATTTGCTTGGTAGTATCTATGCGCATCAGGGAAATCTCTATTGCGATGTCTAGATAGGTCTACGTAATTGAGGCAGGGTTTTTTTGTTCATCCACACAAAACCCAGACATTGAGACTGTTAGAAAAAAAATGTCTAGGGATGTGTATTGTAAGAGCTGTGGTGAGGTACAGTACCCTGGTTGGAACGTTCATTTTCAGGACATTAATGCATTCCTTCCATGATGGGTGGGTTTATTCCACCCAGGAGGTCAGCGTTTATCACCTGCAACAGAGGGGAAAGTCAGCTTGAAAAAAGTCCAATGTAGAGGGAGTCATTTTAATGCCTAAATATGTAAGTGAAGTCTTAGCTTCCCTAAAGGGGAAGGTGCAGTAAATGTTGCCACTAAGTTGTGCTGGAACTTTTATAGACACGAACTCCGATTTATCATAGTTAATCAAGAATAACGATAAGGTGCTGTATCATTTCATTTCCTGGACTAATTCTGTAAGGGAATTTAGAGGGTTGGTCAGGGAGAAAAGCAGGTCATCCGCATATGCTGTAATTTTGTAAACTGAGCCCCCTCCGGCAAATCCAGAGATGTTGGCATTTGTCCTGACTGCGTTTAGGAAGGGTTCTAGTGCAAGTGTGAACAGCATGGGGGAGAGTGGGCAGTCCTGGCAGGTGTAGTTTTTGATATGTACAGGTTCCGATACTAATCCGTTGACTCATATACGAGCAAACAGCTTGGAGTAGATGGCATCAATCCATGCTCTTCATCGTGGACCAAATCCCAAATGTCTAAGGACCGCTCTCAGGAAGGGCCAGTTCACCCGATCGAATGCCTTTTCATCATCTGTTGACAAAAAAAAAGAGAGCCCAGAGTGTGTTGCTACGTGAAGAAGATTGACTACTCTAGTGGTATTTTCCTTGGCTTCCCTAGATGTGGCAAAGCCCACCTGATCAGGATGGACCAGCACCCCCATAAGAGGACCCAACCTGCCAGCCAGTATAAAGGGGAATATTTTTAAATCATTATTCAGTAACGATTTGGGGCGGTAACTCCCGCATAGTTCAGGGTCTTTACCAGGTTTTGTTAGTAGGGTAACATATGCTTCTAATGTTTGCATCTGTGTTCGGAGTCCATGGGGTAGGGCATTAAAAATGTGAAGAATGTATGTGGTGAGTACGGGGAGAAATTGTTTTAGTACCTAGCGGTGAGGCCGTCAGGGCTGGGGCTCTTATTTATGGGTGATTTCTTGACTGCAGCAGTGAGTTCGTCATTTGTAATGAGGTTATATTAAGAGATGGCTGTGTCCAAACCTATCTTTGTTTGTAGGTGAGCAGTCAAGTATCGTGCTTAAGGGCTATCTAAGGTCCATTCTCGGTCGTTGTTTGAGGGGATGTTGTATAATTTAGTGTAGAATTCGTGAAATTCCTGGGCAATATCTTCCAATTTGTGTATTAGTTGCCCATCCGTATTTCTAATTTTAGAGATATAAGTCAACTGATATCTCTATTTCAGTTTTCGTTTAGCTTCCAGAAGCGGTTAAATGGTTGTGGCGTCTCTGGGGCTAAGGAGAGAGTGGTCATAGCGTGGTCAGACCACGTAATGGGTGCGATGGACGTGTGGGTAAGTAAGTGCAAATGTCTATGTCAGGAGGAGAAGATCTATAAGTGAATAGGAGTAAACATAGATAGTAATTTAGAAATCTATACGTACTAGGAAATCACCTAACAGATAACTCTATATGTGAATAGGACTGTTTAGCATGAGAGAAGAAGGTATAATCCTTCACTAGAGGGTTTTGGATATGCCAACAATCAATAAGTTGGTGTGAATGTAAAAGCGCCCTGATTTTACATCTGTGTCATAAGTCCAGTTTCATAAAACTACATATGAGGTTGTGGACTACATTAACATGACATTCAGTCAACTTTAAGACCAGTTAAGTATTATGGAAATTTGCCCACAAATATTTAAAATGTTATAGTTAATTATCATTCGTCATAAGCACATTTCTCCATATCCCTCTTGTACCCAATACAGCCTATATATCCCTTGCACCCTCTACAGTCCCTACTATCCCCTGCACCCACTACAGCTTCTCTCCCCTATGCACTGACTACAGCCCCTATCACCCCCTGCACCTACTATCCTCGATCTTCATGCACCCTCAACAGTCTCCATTATCCCCTGCACCCAGTGGTGTATCTTGGTTTTGTTCTGCCCTAGGCAGGACAAAACTCAGGCACACCCTCCCCCCACCCAACCCTTCCCCCCACCCCACCTTCTAAATACACACACACAAACAGTCAGACACAAACACACACACAGTCAGACACAAACACACAGACAAACACAGTCAGACACAAACACACACACAGTCAGACACACACACACACACAGTCACACACACACAGTCAGACACAAACACACACAGTCAGACACAAACACACACACAGTCAGACACACACACACACACAGTCAGACACAAACACACACAAACACACATTCAGACACACACACACACACACACACACAGTCAGACACAAACACACAACAAACACACACGCACACATTACACAGTCAGACACACACAGTCAGACACAAACACACACACAGTCAGACACACACACACACAGTCAGACACAAACACACACAAACACACATTCAGACACACACACACAGTCAGACACACACACACACAGACTCAAACACACACAGTCAGACACAAACACACAGTCAGACACAAACACACACACACACATTCAGACACACAAACACATACAAACACACACACAGTCAGACACACACACACATAGTCAGACACACACAATCACTCACATCAAATTTTATTTTTTTATTTACCCCCCCCCAGCCTCCTTACCTTTGGGAATGCTGGGGGGGGGGGTTGGTTCCCTTTCTCCCTTGTGGTCCAGTGGCTGCTGGGCAGGCGGCTGGTGAGGGAGCTCTTCCTCTGAGCGGTCTGCTCAGCTCCCTCACGTGCCTCAGAGTGAGGCTGGGAGCCGGAATATGACGTCATCAACCCGGCTCCCAGCCTCACTCTGCGGCGCGCGAGGGAGCTGAGCAGACAGCTTAGAGGAAGAGCTCCCTCGCCAGCAGCCGCCCACCCAGTGCCCAGCGCCAGGCATGTCAGTTAGCCATGAGGCTAACTAGGCATTTGCCCTGGGCATTTGGGGGCGGCGTTTTTTGCCGCCCCCTGAAAAATGCCGCCCAAGGCAAATGCCTTGTTTGCCTCGCGGCTAATACGCCCCTGCCTGCACCCACTGCAGCCCCTCTCCCCTATGCACCCACTAAAGATCATATCACCCCCTGCACCCACTAAAGACTCTATTACCCCCTGCACCTACCACATAATCTATCCCCTCTAGATCCAAGCCTGGAGTTGAGCTGGACATAATTAATTTAAAGTCTGAATTGCTATATCGGAACATTGTCAAATACTGTGAACAATGTCCAGATTTTGCAGTCCGAATGGCCCTGTAAACAGTTGGATGGTTTTGCCATATTTGGTATTAAGCAATTTGGACTTTAGTGAATAACCTTGTTAGTGTCCTACTTTCATATTTTAGAAAATACGGGTGAGAGTTGAAAGATAGAACTATTAAAATATTTATTTATGAATGAATATTTATTTATTCTCAAGTACAATAAAATAATCTTGTTATACTACCAGTGTGAAAACATACATGAATACATATTTTGCAGATATAAATCTGATTTTGCTTTATTCATATTTATGATGTGTAATGAAAATTGTAGATTGAGAAGACAATGTTTTTCAGTTAATTTTGAGACTGTTTTTCTATGTTATATTTTCCCGTGACCTGTGTCTTCAGGGTACTCCATTTAGGGACTTTGTCCCTCTTTGAAACTTCATCACTCACTGCCCATTTAACCCAGTACATGCTAGGACAAAAACATTCCTTAAAGTCCATGGCTATTTATATTTATATTTCAGTTTTCTCAGATAAAACTGTCTCATGAGAAAGATTCAGATCCTCACAAAAGGAATTAGATTCTAGAAGCCAAGTTTATGTAGAGTCAGAGTGTGCTATGTAACAATGGTAAAATTAAGTAGTTGCTTTGAGTACCCTTTAATAAATGATATCAAAACCAAGGAAAAGAGCTTTATCTTTAGTAACACTCCAAAAGGAGGTAACCCTGAAATCCTGAGTGTTAATCATTTAGGAATGAAAAAATAATAAAACAAGTTTTATTCATATATAGTTCAAAAATAGCTTTGAGTAAATTTACACAAATAGTGAATAATCTATGAAGTGAAAAGTTTAACAA